GGGATTGAACTATGTTGAATTCAATTCAAAATCTGGAATTAAGAGTCTAATGATGACCAGGAATCCATTGTTGATTGTCGGGAAAATCCTACCTGGTAGAGAAGGAAATGGCTATCCTTACCTGGCCTGGCCTACATGTGACTCCAGACCCACAACAATGTGATTGACTCTTAACTGCCCTCTGGGCAATTACAGGTGGGCAATAAATGCTGCCTAGCCAGTGATGCCCTCATCCTGTGAATAAATAAAAAAAAATACTTGTCTTAGAGCCATTCCTACCTCCCTCAGACAAACTTAAAATTCAACCATATTATGATCACTGCTGCCTAAAGGCATCTTCACTACAAGTTTCTTAATTAACCTTATCTCTTTGCATGATACCAGGTTTAGTATAGACTACTCTGTGGTCAGCTCTAGAACATGCTGCTGTAAGAAACTATCCTGAATAAATTTTATGAAGCTCTCACGTAAGACAACTGTTGCCCGTCTGGCTGAATTTAAATTAAAATCCCCCATGACTATTCTGTATCTTCCTGACAACGTCCCATTATTTCCTTGTTTGTACCCCATTCTACTATTTGGTTGCTGTAAGGGGACTGCATACCATTACCACAAAAGTAATATCTTGCTTCTTTCATTCCTCAACCTGAAGATTCCAATTTGCTGAACTTAGATCTTCCTTGTCTATTTTGCTGCTGCCATCACTAATTAACAGAGCCACCTCTCCACCTTTCCTAGATTCTTGTCCTTCCTGTCATTCCCAAATGTCCTGTTAGAGGATGAGTGTTACAGGATAGGCAGCATTTATTGCTAAATCCTAACTGCCCTTGAGAAGGTGATGATAAGCTAACTTCTTGAACTACTGCTGCCAAGGGTTTGTAGCTACATCTACAATGCTGTTAGGAAGCAAGTTCTAAGAGTTTGACACAGTGACAGGGAAGCAATAGCAATATTGTTTCAAGCAGGATGATGTGTATATTGGGAGGGGAACTTGCAGATGGTTGTGTTCCCATGCTTTAGGTGTTAGAGGTCATAGGTTTGGAAGATGTTGTCAAAGGAGTCTTGGCAAGTTGCTGCAATGCATCTTGTAGATGATGCACACTGCTGCAACTGTGGTTTGTGGTGGATAGGGTGAGAGATTAAGGTGGTAAACGGGATGCTAATTAAATGGACACATTTGTCCTATGTGGTGTTAATCTTCTTGACGCTGTTGGCAAATTCAGAGAAGGTTTATAAGGATGATCCTTGGTCCTAGAGCTTTCACATTGAAGTGTGTTGGGCTTTTCACAGGGTCAGTGTCTGAATTGTTACAATGTGGAAGGAGGCCATTTGGCCCCTTGTGCCTGCACCAACTGAGAGTGCAATCAATCTCCTGCCTTTTCCCTATAACCCTGGACATTGTTGCTATTTAAGTAATCATTCAATTACTTGTGCATGCTTCAGTTGAACATATTTCCACTACATTCAAGCAGTGCATTTCTGACCCTAACCACGCACTGTATGAGAAAAGTTTTTTTCTAACCTCACTTTGCTTCTTTTGCATAATGCTTTAAAACTGTGCCCCTGGCTCTTGGACATTTTCTCCCTATCAAGTCTGTCCAAACCCCTCATGATTTTGTAAACTTCTTAATATACTCCTCTTCGAGGAAAACAGTCCCGACTTCTCCAATCTTTCAGCATATTTCAAGTGTCTTAACCTCGGAAGCATTTTTGTAAACAGCAATGAATGGATGCAATAAAGTGGTGTAGATGAATGAAAGAATGCAAATAGTTTGGAAAAGGTCAATCCAGGAATGATCTTATTTGTAGAGATAGTAAAAACTGCCGATGCTGGAATCAGAGATAACACATTGTGGAGCTGGAGGAACACAGCAGGCCGGGCAGCATCAGAAGAGTAGGAAAGCTGATGTTTCGGGTCGGGACCCTTCTTCAGAAATGGGGGAGGGGGAAGGGAGCTCTGAAATAAATAGAGAGAGGACGGGTGGGGCTGGTGAAGGTAGGAGGGATGGTGATAGGTGAGTGCAGGTAGGCAGTGATGGGGATTGGTCAATCAGGTGGGAGGAGCAGATAAGTGGGAGAGAAGATGGACAGGTTGTGTCAGGTCAAGGAGGCGGGGATGTACAAAGAACATAGAACAGTACAGGACAGTACAGGCCCTTCGGCCCACGATGTTGTGCCAAACTTTTACCCTAATCCTAAGGTCTATCCAACCTCCACCTCTAACTAATACTATCATTCATATGCTTATCTAATAGCCGCTTAAATGCCCCTAATGAGGCCGACTCCACTACCCTCTCTGGAAAAGCATTCCACACCCCTACCACTCTCTGAGTAAAGAACCTACCTCTGACGTCTCCCCTATATCTATCTCCACTCACTTTAAAACTATGTCTCCTCGTAATAGCTACCTCCACCCTAGGAAAAAGTCTCTGGCTGTCTACTCTATCGATACCTCTGATCATTTTGTATACCTCTATCAAGTCACCTCACATCCTTCGTCGTTCTAAAGAGAAAAGCCCTAGCTCTCTCAACCTTTCCTAGTAAGACCTTCCCTCCATTCCAGGCAACATCCTGGTAAATCTCTGCACCTTTTCCAAAGCTTCCACATCTTTCCTGTAATGAGGCGACCAGAGCTGGACACAATACTCCAGATGTGGTCGAACCAGGCTTTTGTATAGCCGGAGCATAACTTCACAGCTTTTGAACTCAATCTCTCTATTAATGAAAGCTAACACACCATAAGCCTTCTTAACAACTCTATCCACCTGGGTGGCAGCTTTCAGGGAACTGTGGACAAGAACCCCAAGATCCTTCTGCTCCTCCACACTGCCAAGAATCTTTCCATTAACCCTGTAATCTGCTTTCAAATTTGTCCTTCCAAAATGAATCACCTCACACTTTTCAGGGTTAAACTCCATCTGCCACTTCTCAGCCCAGCTCTGCATCCTATCAATGTCCCTTTGTAACCTAAAACAGCCCTCCGCACTATCCACAACTCGACCCACCTTTGTGTCATCAGCGA